TATATACCAAATAGAGAAAAACCCTGAGCAAGCCAAACAAGCATACGCCAAAGCCTATAGTCTTTTCAAGGAGACCGACCCTTATCGCGCTATGGTAGAGGCCAAATGGCGCGCCTTGGGAGGCGTGCCGCCGCAAACCGCAGACAATACCTCTGCTAATGATAGCGCTGTTGAAAAATCCGTGGAAAAACAAGTGCAAGCAGACGTAAAACAAGCAGAAGAAAAAACTAAATAATTCAAATAATTCATGCTGATGCGCTCAATTTTCGTGCTACTAACTAAATAGGCGCGGCGTTTACAGCTGATGCGCTAGTGAATTAATAAAAAACACCATCACCCAAGGGAGTAAAGCTATGAAACCCGTCATCGCCTTGGTGGGCAGACCCAATGTGGGCAAGTCCACCCTATTTAATAAACTCACGCAAACACGAGATGCCATAGTCGCAGACTATGCAGGCCTGACCAGAGACCGCCATTACGGTAGTGGAAAACATGGTAAACAAGAGTTTATCGCGATAGATACCGGCGGCTTTGAGCCTAAGGCCGAATCTGGCATCTATAAAGAAATGGCCAAGCAGACTCGCCAGGCTGTCGCGGAGTCAGACGTGGTGATCTTTATGGTTGATGCGCGCGATGGCCTTTCGGCGCAAGACCACGACATTGCACAATATTTGCGCAAATTGGGTAAACCCGTGCTATTGGCGGCCAATAAAGCCGAGGGCATGAAAGCCAGTGCGCAGTTGGCAGATTTTTACGAGCTAGGTTTAGGTCAGGTTCACCCCATATCCGCAGCCCACGGACAAGGGGTGGGAGATTTGCTAGATATGGCGCTGGAGCCCTTAAATCTTCCCGACATAGAAGATACTCTGGAAGAAAAGCCAGACGTCATTAAACTCGCAGTGGCTGGGCGCCCCAACGCCGGCAAATCTACGCTCATCAACACATGGCTGGGCGAAGAGCGCTTGGTCGCTTTTGATTTGCCAGGAACTACACGCGATGCTATCAGCGTAGAGTTTGAGCGTAAAGGGCAGAAATATGAAATTATTGACACTGCTGGGCTACGCAAAAAGGGCAAAGTTTTTGAAGCCATAGAGAAATTCTCCGTGGTGAAAACCTTGCAGGCTATAGAGGATGCCAACGTGGTTGTGTTGTTGATAGATGCAACCCAAGGAGTTACAGACCAAGATGCGCACATTGCAGGGTTTATATTGGAAGCAGGCCGCGCGGTGGTTGTGGCCGTGAATAAATGGGATGCTATTGATGATTATCAGCGAGAAATATTGCGTCGCTCCATAGAAATGCGCTTGGTATTTCTCAAATTTGCTGATATACACTATATTTCTGCCAAAAAACGCCAAGGCTTAGGGCCACTGTGGACGTCTATCAATAAAGCCTATACATCGGCCTACTGCAAAATGTCTACCCCTAAACTCACCAGGCTTATTCAAGAAGCCGTACAGTTCCAAGCGCCCAAGCGCCACGGTATGTACCGCCCAAAACTGCGCTATGCCCACCAAGGCGGAACCAATCCGCCAGTGGTGGTGGTACATGGAAACTCCCTAGAAGGCGTAACAGATGCTTATAAACGCTACCTGGATGGCCGTATCCGCAAAGCCTTTGACCTCAAAGGAACGCCATTGCGTGTGGAGATGAAAACCAGCCATAATCCCTATAGCAGCAAATCGAAAGCCTAGCGGAGAAATTTCACAAGAGATTCAAAAAAGGGCTTTGTCACCTCATTTAGTGAAATCTCTGGTTTTTTATGGTATCGTACACACTCTTTGCGCTAACCGCGATGCTTTTGGCGGTTTGGGGTTAAAGAGTGTTCTTTTGCAATAATGACGGTCAATCAACATTATTTATTATTATTTATTATCTAGCACGGAGTATATCGTGAGCAATAAAAGCCAATATTTACAAGATCCTTTTCTAAACCAATTACGTTTAGAGCATGTGCCAGTATCTATTTATCTGGTCAATGGGATTAAATTACAAGGCCAAATAGAGTCGTTTGATCAATATGTTATTTTGTTGCGCAATACTATGACGCAAATGGTGTACAAACACGCAGTATCTACTATCGTGCCAGGACGCCCAGTGCAATTTAGAAATCTAAATAATGACGCAGCCGGTAAAGACACCGAGGCTGCTGCAGATGCTGCTCAGAATTGAGCACAACCATAGCTGGGAAGACGGCTTACAAAAAAACTAGTTGGCCGTTATCTCTCTAGGCTTGGGAATAGCACTATCTTGTCGGTTGCAAACCCTTTAATACCGCTAGCTTCACGCGCCTTATTGGTAGGGGTGGATATCCACAATACAGCCAATTTTGATGCGCAGTTGCAAGAGCTGGGCTTATTGGCGCAAACAGCGGGCTACACAATCTCTGGCGCACTCGTATGCAAACGCCCTGCACCTGATGCAAAGTTTTTTGTCGGTTCTGGAAAAGCCCAAGAAATTAAAGACTTAATGCAAGAAACAGGCGCGAATGAAGTTTTGTTTGACCAGGCCTTAAGCCCTGTGCAACAACGCAATTTGGAGCGATTTTTGGAGTGTCCCGTAAACGATAGAACAATGTTGATTTTGCAGATTTTTTCTCAAAGAGCGCGCAGTCATGAGGGTAAACTGCAAGTACAATTGGCGCAATTGCAATATGCCGCTACGCGATTGGTGCGCCGCTGGTCACATTTGGAGCGCCAAAGCGGCGGCATAGGACTGCGCGGTGGCCCAGGTGAAACACAGATGGAGCTAGATAAGCGCATGATTACGCAGTCTATAGTGCGAACCAAAGAGCGTCTAAAGAAAATAGAGCGCCAGCAAAATGTACAGCGGCGCCAGCGCGGCAAAACGCAAGCGACCACAGTGGCTTTGGTAGGTTATACCAACGCAGGAAAATCCACATTATTCAATGCTTTGGTAAAAGCCCAAAGTTATGCCGCTGACCAGCTCTTTGCTACGCTTGATACCACCACGCGACAATGGTTTATACCCGAGACGGGCGAAAAAATCATGCTCTCAGACACGGTAGGTTTTATACGCGAATTGCCGCATGGCTTGATAGCCGCCTTTAAAGCGACCTTGCAAGAAGCGGTTCATGCCGATGTATTGCTGCATGTCGTCGATCGCGCCAACCCAGATTTTATGGAGCAAATGGAGCAAGTGCAGCAAGTTTTGCATGAAATTGGCGCTGCAGATATAGACCAAATAGTAGTGTTTAATAAATGCGACGTCTTGAAAAAAAGCGAAATACCCCCCAGCTGTGTAGGAACTTGGGCCGTAGAGGGCAAAATGTTGCCAAGTGTCTACGTCAGCGCCATGCACAACCAAGGTATGGCAGAATTACGCATATTGGTGAGCGAACACACAAAAGCAAAGGTGCAAACGAATACAACCACTTTGGAACCATACCATGGCATTGAAAAACTGGATTATTAACAAAACTGCCCGATTGGGAGTATTTAACCAAGGCAACCAACAGCCGCCCGATTTGGACGAAATTTGGCGCGACTTTAACCAAAAACTCAACAACTTGCTGGGAAAAAGCAAAAGACCTGGTGCGCCATCCGAGCAGCCCCCTGGCTCAGAACCTCCTCGCTCATCTATGGGCAGCTTTAATAAAGGCCCAGTAATTGCCGCAATATTTGGGGTAATTTTGGTGTTTTGGCTGTTGTCTGGATTCTTTAAGGTAGATGCAGGCTATCAAGGGGTGGTAACCCAGTTTGGCAAATACCAAAAATCCGTAGGGGAGGGTTTGCATTGGCGCCTGCCTTGGCCGGTGCAGCGTAACGAACAAGTGGATTTGCGTTTGCAAAAATTGGATGTGGGCACCGATGCTATAGTTCCCGCCACAGGTTTGCCCGATTCGGCCATGTTGACCAAAGACGAAAACATTGTAGAGATTAAACTGGCTGTGCAGTGGCAAGTCAAAGACCCGCGCAGCTATTTGTATAACGTCAGTGAGCCGGTGCCCACCGTAGTCAAAGCCGCAGAGACTGCTGTACGCGAAGTCGTGGGCAATATGACCATGGAAGACGTCATCCAAGGCGAGCGCGACCAAATCCCAGGCAGGGTGCGCGACATTATGCAAAATTTACTAGATAGTTACCAAATAGGCATCAATGTACAAGGCGTAAACTTGCAGCAAAGCGGCGTGCGCCCACCTGATCAAGTGCAAGCAGCATTTGATGATGTACTAAAAGCAGGTCAAGAAAAATCTCGCTCCACCAACGAAGCCCAGGCCTATGCCAATAATGTGGTGCCACTGGCCAAAGGTACAGCTAGCCGACTCCTCCAAGAGGCAGATGGCTACGCCGCTCGCGTAGTAGCCCAAGCCCAAGGCGATGCAGCGCGATTTGACTCCATATACGAAGAATACAAAAAAGCCCCCAAAGTTACCCGCGACCGCATGTACACCGACACGATGAAAGACGTGTACACCAAAGTCACCAAAGTGCTGGTTGATTCCAAGCAAGGTTCTAACCTGCTTTACCTGCCGCTGGATAAGCTCTTGCAGCAAAATCTTGATAGCGCCAAAGCCGCGCAAACCCAAAACAGTGCTGGCAGCACAAATGGCAGTGGCGCAAACAATGGCAGCGCAGCAGAGTCCAAACCAGCCACAGGTGCTAGCGAGAGCGTGACCGTTACCATCCCTGCTGACTCGCGCACGCGTGAGCGCCAGCAGCGCTAGAGTAAACCCAGGTAGAAAAACTGACCAAGTTACGACACATTAGGAACAAAGTAAAAATGAACAAAATTATTGTCTGGGTAGTAGGTTTCTTCTTACTAGTGTGGGTGCTATCGTCTACGTTTTTTGTGGTAGATCAGCGCCAATTTGGTGTGGTGCAAGAGTTTGGAGAGATAAAGCGGGTAATTACCGAGCCTGGTCTTAAAGCCAAAGTGCCGTTTATCCAAGACAACTCTTACTTGGATAAACGCTTGCTGCTGCTCACCAGTGGTAACCAAGGCGCTGACAGCGAACCAACGCTCACCGCTGAAAAGCAGCGCGTAGTGATAGATTGGTATGTACGCTGGAATATCACCAATCCACAAGACTACATTCGCAATCTGGGCACCACCACCGAAGCAGGCGCAGAGCAGCTTCGCCGCGTGGTTCGCAACTCTTTTCAGCAACAAGTCAATAAGCTCACTTTGCAGCAAATACTCTCTTCCCAGCGTGAGCAATTGATGACAGATGTGAAAAAACAAGTCAGCTCTACCATTGCAGATTCTAGCAAGCCTTGGGGCTTGCAAGTGCAAGATGTACGCATATCGCGGGTGGATTACTCCAAAGCGGTCATAGGCTCAGTCTTTGACCGCATGACAGCAGAGCGCAAACGCGCCGCCAACGAGCTGCGCTCCACTGGCCAGGCTGATGGCGAGAGTATACGCGCAGATGCCGACAAACAGCGTGAAGTCACCCTCTCCCAAGCCTACGAACAAGCCCAAACTACCAAAGGTAAAGCCGATGCCCAGGCCACCCAAATCTACGCCAAAGCATTTGGCAAAGACCCCCAATTTGCCCAGTTCTACCGCAATTTGGAAGCCTACAAAGCCAGCTTTCAAAGCAAAGACGATGTCCTCGTGCTAGACCCAGACTCCTCTGAGTTTTTGCGCATCATGAAAGGCAGCGGCGCAGGGAAATAGCCAGAGAGAATAAATTAAGGTAAAATCTGCTCCTGCACGCAAGGAGCGCTGCACTCCCGTGGGGGACCAGGCTTGCGGCATTTGTCCATTTTTTCAACTGCGCTCATCCGCTTTGCCCGCTGACAAGCAAAGCTGCGATGGGAAGTTTGGACTTACGCAAGTTTGGACTTTTGAGAGCACTTTCAGACTAGCTGAAAAAAGAAACCAACCCAGCGCAGATTTTTCCTCAGTATGCAAAGCGGCACCAACCTTTTGGAGCCTAATATGAACGCTACTGCAAAAAACACCCAAAATCCTGGCGCTAACAATGAAAGCGTGATTACCGACATCAAGCTAGCCGACTGGGGACGCAAAGAAATCGCTATTGCCGAACACGAAATGCCCGCGCTCATGGGCATACGCGCAGCCTACCAAAGCAGCCAGCCGCTCAAAGGCGCGCGCATCGCTGGCAGCTTGCACATGACCATACAAACAGCGGTGCTCATAGAGACGCTCAAAGATTTGGGCGCTGATGTGCGCTGGGCTTCTTGCAACATCTACTCTACCCAAGACCACGCCGCCGCCGCCATCGCCGCTACTGGCACCCCCGTATTTGCCGTTAAAGGCGAAACGCTAGACGAATACTGGGACTACACCCACCGCATTTTTGACTTTGGCCCCGCTGGCAGCGAAAACGAAGGTCCCAACATGATATTGGACGATGGCGGCGATGCCACCTTGCTCATGCACCTGGGGCAAAAAGCCGCCAAAGACCCCAGCATCTTGGACAACCCCAAAAGCGAAGAAGAAACCGCATTGTACAAATCCATCAAAGTCAAGCTTGCCACCGACCCGCAGTGGTACCAGCGCAAAGCCAGCAAAATACTGGGCGTGACCGAAGAAACCACCACCGGCGTGCACCGCTTAAAAGAAATGTCGGCCAAGGGCACACTAGCGTTTCGCGCTATCAATGTGAACGACAGCGTTACCAAAAGCAAATTTGACAACCTCTACGGCTGCCGCGAAAGCCTAGTCGATGGTATCAAACGCGCTACTGATGTCATGATTGCAGGCAAAATTGCCGTAGTTTGCGGCTATGGCGACGTGGGCAAAGGCAGCGCCCAGGCGCTGCGCGCGCTCTCAGCGCAAGTGTGGGTCACAGAAATTGACCCCATCTGCGCCCTGCAAGCCGCAATGGAAGGCTACCGCGTAGTCACCATGGACTACGCCGCCGATAAAGCCGACATCTTTGTCACCACCACAGGTAACAAAAACGTCATCACCCACGACCACATGGCCGCTATGAAAAACGAAGCCATCGTCTGCAACATCGGCCACTTTGACAACGAAATCGACGTAGCCTCGCTGGAAAAATACCAGTGGGAAGAGATTAAACCCCAAGTGGACCACGTCATATTCCCTGATGGCAAACGCATCATCCTCCTGGCCAAAGGGCGCTTGGTAAACCTGGGCTGCGGCACAGGCCACCCCAGCTACGTCATGAGCAGCTCCTTTGCCAACCAAACCCTGGCGCAAATTGAGCTCTACAGCAACCCAGATGCCTACGACGTAGGCCAAGTCTATGTACTACCTAAACATTTGGACGAAAAAGTCGCTCGCTTGCAGCTCAAAAACCTCAATTCCCAGCTCACCCAGCTCACTCCAGAGCAAGCGGCCTACATAGGCGTACCCGTAGAAGGCCCCTACAAACCCGACAGCTACCGCTACTAAGCCTCTAGCGCACACTGATTCCAGCAAGCCCTTAGGAAATAGCAAAGAAAATCAAGGAGTAAAATGGATATGCAAAACCAGCAAGCCCCCAACTCGGCCAATGCCAAACAAGGCAGCCTACCCATCAGCTTTGAATTTTTTCCGCCCAAAACTCCCCAGGGCACAGAAAAGCTGCGCAGTGTGCGCCAACAACTCTACGCCGTAGCTCCGCAATTTTGCTCCGTCACCTACGGCGCAGGCGGCTCGACCCAAAGTGGCACCTTTGCCACGCTAAACGCCATACTGCAAGAAGGCCAAACCGCCGCCAGCCACTTCTCTTGCATAGGCGCTACGCAAAGTAGCGTGCGCGAGCAACTCGCAGAGCTGCTATCTATGGGCGTGCGCCGCCTCGTGGCCCTGCGCGGCGACTTGCCCAGCGGCTACGGCATGGGCGCAGAGTTTCACTACGCCAGCGACCTCGTAGCCTTTGTGCGCCAACACTTTGGCGATGCATTCACCATAGAAGTCGCCTTCTACCCCGAAGTCCACCCCCAAGCCAAATCGCCTGCGCAAGACCTGCAAGCCTTTGCCAGCAAAGTCAAAGCGGGTGCAGATTCGGCGATTTCTCAATACTTTTTCAATGCAGACGCCTATTTTGCCTTTGCGCAAAGCGCGCAAAAACTAGGTTTACAAATACCGCTGGTACCTGGCATCATGCCCATCACCAACTCCAGCCAACTGCTACACTTCTCCGAATCCTGCGGCGCCGAAATCCCCCGCTGGATACGCCTCAAGCTACAACAATACGGCGACGACACCGCCTCCATACAAGCCTTCGGCCTAGACGTAGTCAGCCGCCTGTGCGAACAGCTCATCCTCGGCGGCGCGCCAGGGCTACACTTTTACACCCTCAACCAAGCCGCCCCCAGCCTAGCCATCTTAGAGCGCATCCGCAGCCTCACCCATCCAGCCTAACTCGGCAAGCCAGCGCAACTGCATGCAAAGCGCCGCCGGCAGCTTGGACACGCCAAGTACCCAGCAAAAGGAGAGGGCGGAAAAACCCTGCCTCATCATCCTAGCGCCCATGCAAGGCGTCATGGACGCACTGCTGCGCGACACCCTCACACGCCTTGGCGGCATAGACCGCTGCGTCAGCGAATTTATCCGCATCACCCAAACTCTCTTACCCACTCACATCTACCAACGCCTCATCCCAGAGCTCCAAAACCAAAGCCGTACCAAGAGCGGCACCCCCGTACGCGGCCAACTCCTGGGCAGCGACCCCATCTGCATGGCCGAAAACGCCGCCCGCCTAGCCGAGCTAGGCAGCGCCGGCATAGACCTCAACTTTGGCTGCCCAGCGAAAACCGTCAACCACCGTGGCGGCGGAGCCATCATGCTCACCCAACCCGAACAAATCTACCGCGTAGCCAACCAAGTGCGCAAAGCCATACCAGCCACAACACCGCTCAGCGCCAAAATGCGCCTAGGCTA